TAGCCTTAGACCAACGACTCCAAGAGATATGTAGAATTCGGGACCATGGCTCCAGAGAAAGTTCTGCTAATGACTTCTGTGTTACCAACTTCGCCAGCGATGGGACTAAGCCAGATCACGGGCAGATCCTCCGTCGCTTAGATCAGACATATCCCATCTGTATGGATGTGGTATATTGCTCACAATGAAAATGCCACATCAGCGAGGTATGTAGCATGTAAGTACTTGAAAAGGATGGTCCATACATGTTGTGTCTGTGTACTACCCGCGTGGCGTGATCCATGGTGCGATGAGAGGGTACAATGTGACGATGCCAGAGCGACTGTGGAGTAGAAAGAGTTGGCCGAGATTTCCCGTAGGTGATGAACGACACTGGTGACGGAAAGACAGGACGAGACGAGAATGAATGAGCAAGAGCGTTTGATTCGGGTACGGAGAGGAGGGGAGGAGAAACAACATACATGACGAATTCTAGGTACAGTCTAGACGAGAATGAATGATGAGTGTTGGTTGTCCTGACGCATCGAAGCAAGGAGATGCAACTGCTAATGGCTGAATTAGTCACTCTCATTGCGTTTTCGCCGACGCCTTGATAGCTTGCTTCAGAAGCCCAAGATGGTGGTAGAAATGACAATGTGTAAAGCGTATTTTAATATGAGGCTCGCATCCCACTGACCTGTGCGTGCAGATGCCACCGAGTATCTTAGGCTTGTCCTGTGGCCCGAGTGTTTGTGATTGAGTGGGCAGTGCACATGCATATTGGGAATTTCACTCATGCAGCAATTGGCGTGTTGTGCTCTTCCGAGTCACGGTTATCTGTGACCTCTTGCGTTGTAGTCTCCCCGCACACAAACAGAAAGTGAGAAATTTGATGTCCTGTCGACGAAGCAGTTTCGGAACTACTCGGCAGCTCGTCTGGGGCTAATAATCATAACGAAAGTAGGCTAGAAGAATACCCACACACCATAACGAAAGTAGGCTAGAAAAAAATTGTATTGCTAGGTGCTGACGCTAGACTTGATCTTGCAAACACCACCTAGAGCTCACCCGCGGCACTTCAACTTCGTACAGTAACGAACCTGAAGAGCCTCTTTTGAACGCCATCCAAACCTGTCACTAAACCGTGCATGAATGTCTGCCCATGATAGTTCGCGTTCTTCTTTCAATTTGATGAGAAGCGTATCCTCCTCCTGTGTGAACCTTGCTCTCGCGCTATGTCCTCGCTTGTGACCTCTCTTGGACCCCTGGTGCACTATGTGGCCGTGTTTCATGCACAAGTCCCAGTCGAACTGTAACTGGAACGTTGCTCTATCGTTCACAATGGTACGCTTCAAACGGACATTCTGCAAGGCCCATTCATCAAACTCCGCTCTTACACCGTCGACATCATCGGTTGACGGGGGCGACATAACTACACCACCGACATCATCGGTTGACGGGGGCGAGGGGAACATGTCCCGTGGTCGATTTTCCCTTGTCGAGGTATCAGGACAGTTCCGTTTACTAGGCGATCTGGGTCTAACAGAGGAGTGGCCGAATTTACGGCGCTTGCGTGAATCCGGTTGAAACCCTTCGTCCTTGGCACGGTCATGATAGTAGTCGTCTTCATTTTCATCGTCTGTTGATGAAGGGCAGTATTCTGTATCGGTCTGTCTATTGACACCGTCTTGCTCATGTGAATCGTTCCTGTCGCGCCACTGCGACTCTTCGCTTAAGGTCGTCGGACGGAACCGCTGGCGAGTAGGGGACGGGCTCGACCTCACTTCCATATTTTTGTCATCGATCTGCACATGTGTGTTCGGCTTGACCTCGGAACCATCCAAAAGTTGAGACTGCACCTGAGATGGA